GTTAGGGGTTGATTAGGAGCAGGGCCGTGGGGAACAAAATTACCATGAGGTGACAATCAACTTTTCAAAGTCACTATTAAGCTGCCAGCCCATTTCAGAATAGGTAATTCCATATTGCCAGCTGTTTCTGATGGTTTTTTACTGATTTTTAAAGACGCACAGAATACAGTGTACTATGACTATCTGTAATCCGACCCCAGATTCTGAAAGAATGGACTGTCTACTTTCATAAAAAAATAAAATGTCTTTCTAGCTTGTTTCGGTCCCTTGTAATCCTCCATCGAGTAGAGGGAAGTTTTACTGAAATCAACAGAAAGCTGAGAAAAAAGAGGCACAACATGTGCATCTAGCTGTTTTCAAACCATTCAGAGAGCAATGCTGCCACCTGCTGGCTAGATGAAATATTGCCTCAAGCCAATCCCCACATATTAGATACAATAGACATCTGGGAACGTGAAATTGCGGAAAAGCGTCAATGGCACACAATGAGTTAATAGAAAATACAAGGGACAGAAAAAAGAGAATAAGGATGTTCAAGGGGAGATCAAAAGCTCTAAGTAGAGAATAGCTCCTTCAAGCCAGGGCACCTAACTGTCTGTTTCTGAAATAGCACATGATGTTTGTCCCAACAAAAAGTATAGTAAATAATATACAATAAAAGTATAGTGTGCTTTACATTTCAAGGCAAAGGAAGGTTTCTCACCCATCATCTGTACTTCTTAGCAAGTTTGGGAAAACTTTCTAAGAAGTACAGATGATGGGTGAGAAACCTTCCTTTGCTTTGACCAATCCCTGTACGACTGAGGGCTTACACAAACCATTTACATTTCAAGGAAACTTCAAAGTTCCTCAGCAGGCAAAGCTCTACAATCAAGTAAACATTGACAGGAGAAAACCGCTTTATAGACCTTTAACAGACTAAAAGGTCTTGTAAAAGTAAAATGTTGTGAACAAGTCATCCCACAACATACTGGAAACATGTTATTTTTTCTGAGTGTGACATGATGCTTTGGGCTGAGAGCTGACCGGCTGAGGGAGGGTGTTGGGTCTTGTTCGCTAAAGTTGTGACAAAGGCCAAAAATACATGTGTGTGTGAGGAGGCAGGCTTTCTCACCTCACTGTCCAGAGGCCTTTCTGAAGTGTCTGCACTATTCTGTATAGTTGTTTCTGGAACTGACTTGTTTGCGTACTGTTTTTACTGTATGTCTTTTAATTGAAAAGCGCTTTGTGATCCTGGTCTGTGAAAGGCGCTATATAAATAAACTTTACCTACTTACTTACTTATTTAAAGTGATTGTCTGGAGTTTGTCAGAAAAAAGAGAGTGAGGTACATGATTTGAAAAAAAAACGACCCAAGCTCCCTCCACCTTCCTTTCTGATTGGTCTTGAAGCCGCGCCTACTCTTCCATGCACGAGCCAGGTCCAAGACGTGCGGAGGAGAGAGTATTGATCTAAATATTTTAATATTTAATCATAATTTTCCGCCCTCCACCGTTTTACCAATCAGAAAGTCTGTGATCTGGGTTGCCAGAACTCACAGCATTGAGCTAATCTCACTGGTAAAGTAACATGTGCTGAACTAAAAAAAGGTCTTGTTATGATTCTCAAATCATTATTGACAAAACAAGGAATAAAACTAGGATTTCTATCTGGACCTTTGTGTTATTATGGTCCCAGCTGGATTGGTCTGCATATCTGGCAACCTGAGTCAAGGAGAGTGGGAGAGGTTGCAGTACCACTTTTGGCCAGATTTTTACATACTGCTCCTTTACCTGTTAGATTTGAAGTTAAGTTCCCCAGCTTTAAAAAATAAATATAAAATTGCATCCTTGATTTATAGTGTTGCAGCGTGTGTGGTATTGCTCCTATAATAAAGTTTACTGTGACATGCAAATGAAACCCCCCTTTCCCCCTTACTGGCCCAGCATAATTAATGGTTTGTGTACAGTGGTTCAAAATTTTACTTTCAAACTTTCCAGGTTATTAATGAGGTCATCCCTCCGCTCCCTGAAATCCATTTATTAAACTCACACCTCCATTGCCTCCAAGCCTAAAAAAATTACATAGTCAAAAGTTTTGGCAAAATTTGTTTCCACATGACTGCAAAAAAAATGCTGCTGGAACATAAGGTGAAAAAGGTGAATAGAAAAGGTTCATAGAGTGTGGATGTTGTTTATTTCATTTTATTTACCTTTATTTAACCAGGAATGTCCATGTGGAATTTAAGAAACATTTAAATAGTACTGCACCAAAATATTTTATTGTTTAAATACATGTAATTAACAAGTTTTATCAATTAGTGGTCAACATTAACTCTATGACCCAAACTTCACTCCCAATCATAGACTGTACATATCAATAGACGCAGTGACGCGTCTTTCCTCTGTTGAAATATATGTTCCACAGACATGGGCAGATTCAAAATGGCCGCGGGCAGCCCCTTCCACAGGAAAATGTGAAAAAAACGTATTTGCGAACGCGTTAGCCGACGCTAGCCCTATTCATTTAACGAGTGCTTTCAAAAGTCCACAACGGCTAAACTAGACTGGTTCCCCCCCCAAAAAAAAACTCTCCTTAGCCTTGACAGTATCGTCGAACGTAGCGTTGGGCCAAGAGTGACTTTTGGACCATCCTGTAAAGCCGTTATCAGGAGGAAAAATTAGAATTCAATGGATAGTTCTCTTTCCGGGTACACCCCCACCAGCCCGGAGTGAGATCGAAGCATGTCAGGCCACTTGGATCTTGGATCTTTTTGAGCCGGGATCCACCCCAACTGCCCCCAAGATGTGACTACTGGTCTGGTAACTTTCCATCTATCCATCCATCCATCCATTTTCTTCCCCTCAATCCATTTCTGGGTCGGGGGGTGGCAGTCAGAGTTGCACCCAGTACACAGAGCACCAGCCCCTCACTGATCCTACTGCAGGAGGTGAGTCCACAGGAGTCTTGATTTTCCAGTGGGGGCTTCAGGCAAAGTGGGGTTAAGTGTCTTGCCCAAGGACACAACAACAGCAGTCATCAGTGGGAGTAGTGAATTAGGTCTCATGGTGGGCTCGAACCCACGACCTTCAGGCTCAAAGGCCAATGCTCTACTAACTGAGCCACTGTCGCCCGCTGCTATTGGTAACTACATAAAAGCTTATTCCTTCCTAAAATGGTTCCCACTTTTTGCGTTCTTTTTTTCTCTTTTTGTAGTAGTTTAGTTATTTACTATTTTGATCTATTTGTGATATCAAAGCAATCTATATCACTAGTATGACTTTGGCCAGTGTATTTGGAGGCAGTGTAAGATTTTTGCATATACATTTTTGTATGTTATTACCCGGATTATTATCAGAATATGTCTGGTGGTTGTGCCCCTTAACTGGGATGTAAAATGAAATCTGTTGTTCCATACATCTTTTGTCTCCTTTTTACTATTTTAGACTTGCTGCTTTGTTGCCTTATCTCTGTTCTCTGCATGAGTTGATATGTCACCTGTAGCATCTCACCAACCCCTAGTGTGCATTTGTCATACTGTGTACCAATTAGAAGCCTGTGTCACTGTGGAAATCCAATATTTCTTTTGCTCACCGCACTTGAAGAATATCACTTCATTTGCGGAAACAAAAAACAGCTATAGATTAGACAAGGCAACATTCCCCAGCATCCTCTCTGAGAGTTAAGTGAGCAGTGTGTGACAGATTCCAATATCACTCCGATTATGTGCAAATTGTCATGTGTTTTGGTTGTGGGCGACTGGCAGAGCATATTATTTACTTGAGAATAGCAAAGGAAATGTGCATATACATAAATATTTTATTTTTGGCTTAAAATGTACTGTTCATACAGACTTTGTTACTGGATAATGGTACAACTAAATATATGATGTGTATTCTTGTCATTAAAAAAGGGGCATATAATGAGAATATGCCATTACCGTTTTGATAATTCATCATAGACTGAACCGTGTTGGAATGCCTGTTTTCCCAGGACAACAGTGGGAAAGATTGGCGTGTTGTTTTGCTCCGTGTTAGATTTTTGACCGCCATGGCAAACGTATCATCCATGTTGAGCAATATAAATATATTGTACTTCTTTTTTATTTATTTTTTAAACAACTCTTATTCCACCTTTTCACCTTTAGATTCTTTATTTATTTAGTGCTTTTCCTGCACAGGGCAACACAAAGCGCTTCACAGTCCACACCACACAAAGCACAAATCATCACATAAAACAAACACCAAAATCTCCATTAAAAAACAATTAAAATCACACAGATAATTAAAATCATTAAAACATTAAAATCAAACAAGGGCTTACAATAATAGATAACAACAGTGCATTTAAAAGAGCAGAGATAAAATCCTTCAGTTGTTTGCACAGGTCTTTAACTTTTTGTTAAATTATGTTCTATCCTTGATGCAAATGTGTCTTTTTAAATTACTTTTAAATTTATATCGATTTAGTATATATATATTTTTAGCGTCTTTATTATAAAATCCCTAAATCGTGCACCGTCCATTAGTGTGTTGCGTATAAAGGGATTGTATGTCGGTGGGATGTTGTTAGTCACTGGGGAAATTAGTCCAAGTGACAAATGACTTGATCCAATTTTATTTTATTTTTGGCTCACACATGTCCTTTATTTAGGGCAAATTTTGAATTGTGGTATAATTTTCTGGTCATAGCTGCTTCTCATTAGATCTCAGGACATAAGCAGTGCAGGGCCTGGTTAGTACTTGGATGTGTCCTTAGCCAATACCCTCACACCTGTGTTAATGAAGCACATAATGGCTGCCTTTCTTCTGTCAGGCTGCTTCATGGTTGCTGGGGCTTCACACCACTATCTATGGGGTGGATATACTGTATTATCATTGCATTCGTGTCTGTTGAGTGTCCATAAAAGTCAAATATAAATCATTATTCACACTTTACTTTCTCCAGCGACTGACCTTTATCTTTATCTAATGCATGAGCAGAGTTTATTTACTCTATTTCTACCCTTTTGCTGCGTGTAGGAGTTGGTGGCAGAACTTGGTTGGAGCTTGAAGCCCAGCGTGAGAGAATCAGACTCTGCTGAAGGAAGCTCACCCTCTGGCAAAGGCGAGGAAGACGAGAGAGGCAGCGGAGAGGACTGCGATGATGAAGATGGCTGTGAAGGATCTGGAGCACAGGACACTGGTGAGTCACGTATAAGTCACATCACACAAGCAAAACAAACAGCAAGTACAGTTTAGGCAACAATGGACGTCAACGAATTCTTCAAGACCACCCTCCTTTTTATTATGATAGGGACAAGTGTACACAAACAAGTACACGACATGAGAAGCATTACAATATTCGTAATCCAGGCTTATTTTCTCTGTCCCCAGAAGGTCACATTATTATTATTCACAGTTTCTTTATTATCATACAGAAAGAGGAATAGCCCCATCTAGTTTTCAAGGGGGTCCTCAGTTCAAATTCACACAAAAAACACACTAGACAGCATAACAGAACAGCAGAATAACAAAGAAATAGACAAAAAACTAAGAAGTAAGAAAAATACATAAATAATAAATACATAAATGATAATAATAAAAAGTAAACATGACAATTATAAAAGTCAACAATAATAACCCACACCCTCTCCCTCTCACACACACTCAGACGTACCAGCTCTCAATATTCCACCCTCCACTCCCATTAAAGTATTGAAACTTGTCATATGCAGAATGTACAGCACGTACAATAACATCAGCAAGCTCAACAACAACCAAAAAACATGACGAGACACAGACTTATACATTTAACACATTTTCTTGTATGGAGAGTTATCCTGGATTATGTATATCAACATAGAAATAGTGAAGCATTAGTGGGCTACTGTCTGAAGGGAGTGAATAAAGTGTTTAAGTCTTGTTCTGGTCTGTTATGGAAAATGTGTTGTTTAATGTGATGGCAATTATTGTCAAGCTTTTGTTTAAGATATATTTTAATCTAATAGTAGTTCATTTGATAGTATTTGAATTTGCTTTTTGTGTTTAATTGCATATACGACTGGCCCAAAAGTGCATTTCTCATTCTAGTTCTGCAGACCACAGTATTTTACCCTCAGTTACATAAAATCTTCAGGTCACCCCCAAAAGAAGGAAACTCTAATCATTTATTCACCTGCTGACTTATTTATAATCCGTATGCATAATACATGGATGCCACTGCGATCCAGGGACCACCGCCACCCTGGGGCTATTCCATTTCAGGCAGTCCACCGGCTATTTCCTACAACACAAAATATAATAACTTGTGTACTTCCTGCCCTACCCCCTGCGCGCCCGTATGGGTATTCGTCTCATGACAGTGGATCATGTTGTACTGTCTGTAATCTGAAAAAACAAACTACATGAACAATATATGAGCAATATATCAACAATATGCAATGTATGTGGTACATATAAACAAATTCCTTAATACACCCGCCCACATATTTTTTTATCATAGAAATGAAAGATTGAAGAAGCTAGAGAGGTGTGTGGCTGGATTCTGCAGGATAATAATTTAGAAAAGAATTGTTTTATTGTGATTAGCATTGGAGTTTACCAAATCCCCATAAGATAAAGTTCATTGTATGGTACTTTTATGTGAGAGTTATTCCAATTTACTTAGCTCCTTTATTGGTCTCCACATGTCACTTAAGCAGAAAAAAATCAATATTGAGCCATGATTGAAACAAACATAGCTCAAGTTTAGTTGAGAACCTTCCTCTCTGTGGCCTACAACCTGCTTTATTGACTCTCTACAGTATATCTAACAAGAACTAATATAGCTTCAACATTTACTGCATGTCAAATATATTGTTCTATAAAATCCCCATCCCCAGTGACACCCAATGATGTTAATATGATGTTATATGTGGTATCACCCCGTACATAAGGTCACATCAATATATCGGAGTGCTTGATTGGTCCATCGACTTCCTGTTGGTTAAGCTGTATGGAAAGTGTTTTGTTGCTATTGGAGTTGTTCAGATGGTAGTAGATTAGTATTTTTAGCGCTGCTGCACCTTCTGCATCATCACCTCGTTGGCAGAGGTCATGTGACTGATGATCACAGGGTGACGGTTCAATTCCCTCTGGGCATGAATGAGGAGCTAAAACAAGGGCACAGATGCATTCGTGGCTTTCTCAATATATCCTGGTAGTATTTGAGGTGAGAGGTTTCGAGGATCTCAGCCATACTGGGTTAGAACTATTCTGAGTCCATCCATCCATCCATTTTCTTCCGCTTTATCCGTTGCCGGGTCGCGGGGGCAGCAGTCTAAGCAGAGACGCCCAGACTTCCCTATCCACACACACTTCCTCCAGCTCGTCCGGGGGGACCCCAAGGCGTTCCCAGGCCAGCTGAGAGACATAGTCCCTCCAGCGTGTCCTAGGTCTTCCGCAGGGCCTCCTCCCGGTGGGACGTGCCCGGAACACCTCCCCAGGGAGGCGTCCAGGAGGCATCCGGAACAGATGCCCGAGCCACCTCAACTGGTTCCTCTCGACGTGGAGAAGCAGCGGCTCTACTCCGAGCTCCTCCCGTGTGACTGAGCTCCTCACCCTATCTCTAAGGGAGCGCCCAGCCACTCTGCGGAGGAAGCTCATTTCGACCGCTTGTATCCGCGATCTCGTTCTTTCGGTCATTACCCAAAGCTCATGACCATAGGTGAGGGAGGGAACGAAGATTGACCGGTAAATCGAGAGCTTTGCCTTTCGGCTCAGCTCCCTCTTTACCACAACGGTCCGATACAGCGACCGCATCACTGCGCACGCTGCACCGATCCGCCTGTCAATCTCACGCTCCATTCTTCCCTCACTCGTGAACAAGACCCCGAGATACTTGAACTCCTCCACTTGAGGAAGGACCTCTCCACCCACCTGAAGAGGGCAGGGCACCTTTTTCCGGTCGAGCACCATGGCCTCAGATTTGGAGGTGCTGATTCTCATCCCAGCCGCTTCACACTCGGCTGCAAACCGTCCCAGTGAATGCTGCAGGTCCTGGTTCGTTGGAGCCAACAGGACAACATCGTCCGCAAACAGCAGAGATGAAATCCTGTGGTCCCCGAACCGGACCCCCTCCGACCCCTGGCTGCGCCTAGATATTCTGTCCATAAATACAGTGAACAGAACCGGTGACAAAGGGCAGCCCTGTCGGAGGCCAACATTCACCGGGAACAGGTCTGACTTACTGCCGGCAATGCGAACACAGCTCTGGCTCCGGTCATACAGGGACCGGATGGCCCTCAGCAGAGGACCCCCGACCCCGTACTCCCGGAAACCCCCCAAAGGACACCCCGGGGAACACAGTCGAACGCCTTCTCCAAATCCACAAAGCACATGTGGACAGGTTGGGCGAACTCCCATGAACCCTCGAGTATCCGATGGAGAGTATAGAGCTGGTCCAGTGTTCCGCGACCGGGACGAAAACCACACTGCTCCTCCTGGATCCGAGATTCGACCATCGGCCGTAGCCTCCTCTCCAGTACCTTGGAGTAGACCTTACCGGGGAGGCTGAGGAGTGTGATCCCACGATAATTGGAACACACCCTCCGGTCCCCCTTCTTATAGAGAGGGACCACCACCCCGGTCTGCCACTCCATTGGCACCGCCCCCGATCGCCACGCGATGTTGCAGAGACGTGTCAGCCAAGACAGTCCTACAACATCCAGAGACTTTAGATAATCAGGGCGGATCTCATCCACACCCGGAGCCTTGCCACCATGGAGGCTACCAACCACCTTGGTGACCTCAGCCAGGGAGATGGATGTATCCGCCCCAGCATCCTCAGCCTCTGCCTCTGAGACAGAGGACGTGACGGGGGGATTGAGGAGAACCTCAAAGTATTCCTTCCACCGCCCGACAATATCCCCCGTCGAGGTCAGCAGCTCTCCACCCGCACCGTACATGGTGTTGGCAAAGAACTGCTTCCCCCTCCTGAGGCGCCGGACGGTTTGCCAGAATTTCTTTGAGGCCGACCGATAGTCATGCTCCATGGACTCTCCGAACTCCTCCCAGTCCCGGGTTTTTGCCTCTGCAACAGCCCGGGCCGCGGCACGCTTGGCCTGCCGGTACTGGACAGCTGCCTCAGGAGTCCCCCGAACCATCATGGCTCGATAGGACTCCTTCTTCAGCCTGACAGCTTCCCTTACTGCCGGTGTCCACCACCGGGTTCGGGGGTTGCCGCCGGGACCAGCACCAGAGACCTTGCGACCACAGCTACGGGCCGCCGCATCGGCGATTGAGGCAGAGAACATGGTCCACTCGGACTCCATGTCCCCCTCCTCCACCGGGACCTGGGAGAAACTCTCCCGGAGGTGTGAGTTGAACTATTCTGAGTTTAACTTGCTATTCACTATTTTGGATTTCTTCTTAAAGGCATATTTATGTACTCAGATGAAGATTAAGTATTGTATTGTACTGTGTTGACAGAACAGATTTATGGAGCAAAAATATTCTCAAGGCTTCAGTTTCTTTGGATTCTAAACGCTCTGCATTGTCTGATTACATGATTACGGCCAAAACATCTATATGCAATTTTTCGGATAAAATATGGGATGCAGTCTGTGTCTTTAAAGTAAGCTTGCATATCTACATTATTCTGGAGTAATACATTTTATTTCTGGTAATAAGAATAAATTGCAACTGTCCTTGAAATAGGGCAAATACCTTTATAAATTTTAGATGACCTCCTGCTACTGTACTTTGAAAAGGATAAGAAGCGGTCTTTGCCGATTTCAATCCCATTGCGAAACATATTGCAGCCCTAATTGCAACGGACCCAAAAGAATATAGATTTGAACTTCAGAAGCTTGGGTCCATAAGGCTGAGGTTAAATTTATGCATTTTAATTGTTTGAGTGTTGATATTGATGTATACTATCTGCAGCTTCCAAGACGCATTCAGATAATACATAATTTCTAGTTTAACCATTTTAAATGAACACTAACAAGCTGTTTGACATATCTGACATCAATAAATGTAATCCCAACTCCATTGATTTTTATGTCAACAAATTCTCTGATGCGAGGACAACACCTGATTCAAAAACCACACGGTTATTAGGTGAAGCCGTGGACATCTGTTCCGCTCTTTTCTTCTGTTACTTTTTCTGCCAACCTAAATAATTCTTTCTTTATCTGGCCGCAGCAAACATAGCAGCTTGAAAAGTGCAAAAGCCATAGGACACTTTGTCACCGCCTTTCTTCTAACCTTGATATGACAGATCTGTGAAACAAACACCTCCTGCTGGGCTGCAAACTGGTACATTGGCTATTTACAGAGAAAATTGCCAGTCATGATTTAGCGATCCGGTGGCATGCAGCGCCGTTCAGCCCACATTGAATTCCGAGGAAAGATCACAATAAAGAATGACAAAGAGGATTTTCTCCGTGTCGCTGAGACTTGTCCGTTTTCCTATGCATATCAACAAGCCTCAGATGCGCTGAAGCTGAAAAGCAGAAGCAGTACACCCGGCTCACAAATCACACTGAGAAGATAGGCCAGGCCATTTCCCTTTGAGTGATTTGGACTTTTGGTGCTTCGACTCCATTAGTTTGCCAGCTGTAGTGTAAAAGGTGAATGAAATACCAGTTAGGTCATAAATAATTGGTCTGGCGGTTTCTTCTGTCTAATCAGCAGCATTTACAGAACACATATGCATAACATTTTCTATTTGAGAATGACGCTCTCGGCTGCAACTTATGTAACTTCCTTTCCTTGGAGAAACTTCCAGTATGGCATTAAAAAGTCCAAATTACAGGTTAAATCGCTGAAAATCCCCTCAGGACTGTTTGTTGCTGTGTTTGTGCAGTTTGAGTGAATGTAGGAACCAATTCATTTAATCACACTATTTGGCACACTTTGGGCAGATCAAAGGCAGACACTCCCTCTGTTGCTCAAGTTGAAATTATTCATATCCTTTAGTAATTACATCTTGTTTATATATATATAATTGTCTGTATTTGCATTATTTCAAGGTCTGGTAACTCATGGCAGATGGCAATGACAATTCAAAACAAACAAGATGCCCCAACTACAGCCAAAAAAATGTCCTCTGCAACCAACACAAATTATACAGGCATCAATTGATAAAAGGGCAAGACAAAAGAAGATGGACAAGAAAATATAACAGACCAGATATAGACAAACAAGACATAGACAGATGAGACACAGGCAGAGACACAGACAAGACACAATAAAGACACAGACAAGACACAGACAAGACACAGACGGACAAGACAGAGACAGACAGAAAAGATACAGACAAGACACACACAGACAAGACACAGACAAGACACAGACACAACACAGACACGACACAGACAGAGACAGACAGACAAGACACACACAGACAAGACACAGAAAAGACACGGACAAAGACAGACGAGACACAGAAAAGACAAAGACATAGACACAGACAAGATACAGACAAGACACTCACAGACAAGACGCAGACAGACAAGACACTCACAGACAGACAAGACACTCACAGACAGACAAGACACACACAGACAGACAAGACAGACACAGACACAGACAAGACGCAGACAGACAAGACACAGTCAGACAAGACAGACACAGACATGACTCAGACAGATGTCACAGGTTTAAAAGTGTCTGTTGAGGGGGTGTGATCATAAAAAGGGAAACTGGATAAAAAGGGGATAAAATTTAATAAAATATTTACAAAAGGGATCCATAAAAGATGATTAAAAGCCCAGAGTCCGTCCCCACTGTCCTCCGCTCTTCTCACCCGGGACCGGGCCGCAGTTCCGCCAGCCACTAGCCAACCACGGGTCGGCACCGGGCACCCGCGGGGGAGAACCGGCACATCCCGGTCGCCGTTGGGCCTAGCCCGGGCGCGCACGCGCCTTCATGCGCTGTCAATGCGTGCCCCCCTTACCGGTGCTGCTCCCCCCGCTGGCCTCAGTGCACCGTGGTCTCTGGCTGGCGGTGCTCGTCCTCGTCCTTGGCCCGGTCCCGCGTCCTCCTCCTCTGGTCCTCCGTGTTCTCCCTCTTGTCCTGCAGTGCCCGCCCCCAATTAAAAGGTCTTGATTAAAAGCAGGTGTGGGTGATTAGGGGAAGTGTCCAAGGAACTGTGATTAAAATCCAT